AGGAGGAGGTGGAGGTGGAGGTGGAGGTGGAGGTGGAGGAGGAGGAGGAGGAGGAGGAGGAGGAGGAGGAGGAGTTGTGCCGCCCTGCCCGTCGCCGCCAACGCTGCTGGCCTGTCAGGCGGCGCGCCTGAGGGAGCTCTCGCCCTGCGAGCCGTGGGGGCCGGAATCCCTGCTGGCTCGAGGCCGCAGGCCGGCCTTACGCCTTACGCGACGTGCTCAGAGGCATCATCGGCTGCGCGCCCTGGGGGGAGGTGAGAGGGGAGGGCGGGTCTTGTCTGAATCAGGCGATCGCAAGGATGGATCAAGGGGGCGTGGATTATAGCGACGGTTCCCGCTTCCATGGGGAATCGCGGATTTCCGCCGCCGAGCGAGGCGGCACCGGCCGCATTTTGGGGAGGGCGCCTCCCCCGATCCATGGATTTGGCGACCGCGCGCCAAATCCATGGATCGCTAATCCATGTGTGCGGGCCCCCGACAAAAGGCGGCCGGGCTTCTCCGAGGGCGAGGGCTTCTACGAGGGCGAGGGCTTCTGAGAAGCCCCGCCGCCTTCTGAGAAGACCTGCCCCCTCTTTCACTTCCCCCCAGGGCGCGCAGCGGACATTGTCCTTGCTAGGGCCACGGCTGGCTCTGCCCTTGACTGTACTAATCCAGAGCACAGGGCGGGGAACATATTCCGACGGCGAGATACGTGCTAGATGGGCGCAAGACACCCGAATCTCACCCTTCGGCCAGTCCCTGGACCTGTCTGAGATGCACGAGCCGTAGCCGGTCAGAAGTCCGTGCCACTTGTATCCGCGCACCTCTCTGCATATTCCCCTTTGGCAAGCTCGCCGCCTGCTCCTGCCCACCATCCGTAGGCGTTTGGTCGCCAGACTGTCGACGCCTGGCTCCTCTGTCGTCAACCGCTCCCATAGCCATGTTCGATTTTGACGACCTGCCCGACGATATAGACGCTGCTCTCGCGGCGCGGGCTGGCGCCTCAGAACAGGCGGTGGCAGATGCCTCGTGCGAGCTGGCCGCAGAGGGCGGCGGTGCGCAGGCGGCAGCTGCGGAGGGCGGCAGTGTCCGAGGCGTGCCGGGGCCTTGGCTCTACACGCCGTGCGACGACGTAGAGGTCAGAGCCAGGGATGGGCCCGAGCTGGGCGCGCCGAAGACGGGCCGGGTATTGAGGCCCGGCGACGTCTTCGAGGTCTGCTCAGCGCGGCACGGGGACGACGGGGACCTGTTCCTCGAGCTGGCCGATGGGGGTGGGTGGCTCTGGCGGACGGAGTCTGTAGCACCGGCACCGACAACGGCCTCGCCGGCGGATCCTGAGGCTGCGGCGGCGGTCACAGCGGTGGCCGCTGCAGCGGCCACGCCGGAGGAAGCCCTGGCTGGGGGCGAGCCAGCCACAGAGGGCGGCGGTGCGCAGGCGGCAGCTGTGGAGGGCAGCAGTGTCACGGGCGTGCCCGGGCCTTGGCGCTACCAGCCGTTCGACGAGGTGGAGATTCGGGCAAAGGACAGGCCCGAGCTGGGCGCGCCGAAGACAGACCGGGTGCTGAGGCCCGGCGACGTCTTCGAGGTCTGCTCAGCGCGGCACGGGCCCGACGGGGACCTGTTCCTCGAGCTGGCGGACGGGGGCGGGTGGCTCTGGCGGACGGACTCTCTGGCCCCGGCGGCGGCGGAGGCACCGAAACCGACAGCCGCAGCGCCGGCCACGGCTGAGGCTCCGACAGCGGCCGCGCCAGCCAAATCCGCGGCCGCAGAGGCCTGCCCTCCGGTTGACGACGGCCTGGGAGCGGACGAGGCGGCTGCGGCCGCGGCGGGAGCACCGACAGCTGCGGCTGAGGACGACCGCGCCGGCAAGCAGGCCGTGAACGCCCCGCTCGGCAGCCTGAACTTCGACGATGACGACGAGGAGGGTCGCAGGGCCGAAATCCGGCGTCGACGCGGGGCCAAAATCTCGAGCTAGGGGGCTCATTCTGCTAGTCTTGTTCTCTGGATGTCTCGGCTCGCCGACCGCTGGGGGGCCGTCGTCGCCACAGGTCGAGTTGGTCTGAGAAGCTGGCCGGGGCCGTACCGGGAGCTGATTCAGGCAGTGGTGAAGCGTCCAGGCTCGCCTGTAGGCCCACCAGAGGAAGTTCTAAGAACCCTCTGTGGCTTGCGCGAACTGTTCTCGGAACATTTCTGGCCGAGTCCGTCTTGTTCTCACACGTCGGGCTGATGTTCTAAGAGCATGGTTTTGGTAATGCGAATATTCTTAGGCTCTAAGGACATTTCGTTGTAGGCCTGTTGGAATGCCGGGACGGTCGGTCCCTGCTCAACTGATGTTTGCGGGGGCTCCTGCGCCTCCCCGAGGCAGAAGTCCCGAGACAACCTGTCAGCAGCTTCGGGGTGGGGATTTACACACGGAGCCACCGCCTGCAGGATCGGCTTTCGGAGGCCTCGACAGGCGGTGGACGTGGATAGATTTGGGCCCCCAGGGGCCAAACATGTATTCATATCCACCGCCCGCTGGGGCACCAGGGCGTCGGTTCCAACGCGGTGGATACAATGTGGATACGTCCTCACCTCGCAGCAGCGGTCTGCTTGATCTTCGCAGGCTTGCTGGTGTATCCTCTGAACCTTTGCTGCCTCGATGCGCCCGTTTTGAGACGAAACACGTGCCGTGTTCAAAGCGCCCGTGTTAGCACGCTGCGTGTTGGATCGGCGTGTTGGCTCACGTTTTGGCGAACGTATCGCGCCAGGCCTACGATTCCAGTCGCGTTGAGCTCCGTGTCGACACAACGTGTTGCGTGTTGCGTAGCGGGGCAGCTGAGCTCGAAACGCAGTGCAGGGTCATGCAGCCAACTGGACGGTCGGTGGCAGCAGCTGCTCTCTGTGCGCGGATCCGTGCGTCGCGGGGTCTCGCAGCACGTCCCTGGCCGTCGCTGCGGCGAGTCGAGGCCTTAGGGATGGCCGAAGACGATCCGAGCGGAGAAGCACATGTGAGCAACAGTCTGTGAAGCCCAGCGTGCGACAATCCGGCACGCGCGATGGCGAATCAAAGCCAGCGGGCCGTCGGGAGGCGGGGGGGACTCGTTTCGAAGACGCCCTCGGCGGACCGCCGCCGCTCCATGCCTTCTGGAAGCGCCCATGTAGTGGCACTTCGAGTTACAGTGTGTTACGTCGGGCATGCCCCTCTAGAGGAGAAGTACCCCCAAATAGTACACGTCAGTTGGTTGACGAATAGTTGTTTGTATTGTTTGGCTAGTGTTTTTTTTTTTTTTTTTTTTTTTTTTTCTCTTCGAGAATCCGCGTGTAGGAACTCATGCCCGACCTGAAGCTGCAGTTCGGTCACGCTTCTGGGCTGCGTGCCCCCCCAACTGCTGCGGAAGCCACTGGGGGAACCTCGGGGAGGCGCCCCCTCTCGGGGTCGTCCCGTGGCCGTGATGGGGCTCTCTTCCAGCCTCGCTACGGGCCTTCTCGGGAGCCCTCTTGGGAGCCCTCTTGGGCCCTCTTGGGGCTCCCTGGGGCCGTGTGGTCTGAGGGCCTTCGTGGGGCGCCTGGCGCCTTCAGAGGCCGTCTTGGGGGCCCGCCTGGTCTGTCTTGGGGCTCTGCGCGTTTCGACGCCGCTCAGACGCCCGCCCCTGAGCGGCTCCCGAGGCGGTCCCCTGGCACGGAGGCGCGGGCTCCCGTCGGCCCCCCTCCACGGGACGGCCCAGGCCCTTCGCCCCCCCCGGCGGACTCCCTGCAAGAGCCTCGAGGCGTTTTTTTTTTTTTTGTTTTTGTATTTTTGTTCCCCCATCCCCCGTGGGTGGGCATCGGAAGACTCGTCCGCGGCCCCGCGCCCCGAGCCCGCCTCCTGGGCCCCAGGGGCCTCCGTGGCCCTGGAAGCGGCCCCCGTGGCGCGGAGAGGCGGGCTCCCCTCGCCCCGCCGCCGCGGGGCGCCTCCCTCTCCCCCCCCTGGGAGAACTTTAAGGGGTAGCTCTTTGGGAGATGTTATAGATAATCGGGAGTATAGCTTGCGCGTCGCTGCCTTATGGCTCAAGGCACGCGCGCCCTATTTGCCCGGATACCTGACTTGGTATTCGCTATGTGCTGGAAAGATCATTACATCGTTCTTATCCTATCTAACTCATCCGCACCCCATATCGTGATCCTTCGACATGGAATTGGATGCAATATGACCTACCAGAGTCATTTCAGACTTGGTAGCGGAGCTGGCCGCACTCTCGTGTGGTCAGCTCTTGCTCTTCTTATCCTCACACTACCCGGCACGATCCTCGTGACCAATCTCTACCCTGCGCCACCACTCCACCGACATTTACGATGATCAGTTCAAGAGCAAGAAGCAACACGAGAGGTACGACGTCTAGACAACAACACTGGTACCATATACGCTTCATCACTACGCTATTACCAACCGCTCGGCAACGAACCAAAAGCGCAGCACTTGAAGCGTAGGCGGGGAGACCCGCAAGATGAAACGCCTCGTGGACTTGACAAGGCGCTACAAGCCCTGCCCCAGCGCGGCAACGCGCCCGATAACCACCCATACCTCCACAGCTTAGGGTTGGTTATATTCGCCATTATCTGGTTTGCGCTGGGAGCGGCAATCGGACACATGCGCCGAGGAGATAATAGCACCGATGGGCAAACACATGGCCCATATTGGGACCCCCAAGGCAACGTGCCCTTTCGCGAGTACGTCTACGAGGTCAACGCGTGGCTTAACGTCACGAGTGGGCGCGTGACGCCACAAGCCCAAGCAGCCGCCATACAACGCGGCCTGGGCGGCCTAGCGAGGACACTCGCCATGAGGGTACCACCTAACATCATAAACTATGGCGCGGACATCGACGGTGTCCACACCGACCCAGTAACATACAGCATGTTCCTCCTAAGCATGAAGTTCGAGCGCCTGGAAGATGAGCGCCAGCTCACCTCAGGCACTCAGCTCATCGACTTTCATGTGCCTCACGGAAAACGAATCGACGTAACCCTTACTCGGTTCGAATTGGCCCGTCTTGAGGCACAATCGGTGGGCTTTGACCTTCCCAACTTCCAACTGCTCACGACTATCCTATTCCGCGCCCTAGGCGTTGGTAACCAGCGAGCCATGCAACTCCTACAACCACTCAACCACCAAATGCCCCGAACACAACAACAGTATGAAGAATTGTGTGAGAGGATGCGCTCGATAGGCCATCTGTCAGAGCGGTATCCTGGCAACGTAGGATCAGTGCTTGGAAGGGGAAGGGGAACTGGCAGTGGAAATTTCTATACCACCTTAACCACTGAAGCTCAGCCTGGCAACGGGCCCTCAAACATATGGGCCGGCGATCCCGGAGATCCTATTGCCCTACTAGCAGGGGATCGATCACAACCAAGCTGGGCAACCAGCCCTCCCCCTAGAGAACCTAAGCCTCACCGTTCTCTATGGGGAGAAGCTACCCCCTAAATGACGGTGTAGCCACCTACCTAGGTAACGACGATTTCGGGGTGTCCAGAGACAACAAGAACCCCACTTTGGATGTGGGGAAGAAGGCGGCAAATACGAATACGAAGAAGAATAAGCAGACCAAGCATAATAATAATAATAGTAGCAAGAAGACAAATAATAAGACGACGAAGAAGACGAATAATACTAAGACGAATAAGACGAAGACTACGAATACGAATAATAATAAGAAGGGTAAGAAGAATACGAATACGAATAATAATATTATTAAGAATATAATAGTACTAAGAATATGAAGAAGACTAATACGACTAAGACTAAGAAGAATAATGCGAAGACGAATACGAATACGAAAAGAGTAATCACAATAATAAGAAGACGCATCATAGCACGAATAAGAAAACGAATAAGACGACGAAGTAGAATAATAATAATACTAAGAACAATAAAAAGAATAATGCGAATACGAATAATAATCAGAACAGTATGAAGAAGACGAATAATAATACTAATACGAAGAAGACGAATAAGAAGAATATGACTACGAATAATAATAGTAGTACTTCTAATAATAAGAATAATAATACTGATAAGAATAATAATAAAGCGAAGACGAAGACGAATACTAATAATACTAATACGAAGAAGAAGACGACGAATAATACGAATACTAAGAACAATACTTCTAAGCCTAATCATAATAAGAATACGAATAATAATACCAATACGAATACGAATAAGAATGCAACGACTAATAATAATAATAGTAATAATAGTAAAAATAGTAATACTAATACTAATAATACGAATAATAATAGTAGTAATAATACGAATAACAATATTACTAACACTAATAATAATATTACTAATAATAATACGAAGAAGAAGAATAAGAATAATAAGAATAATAAGAAGAATAAAAATATCATAAGAAGAATAGTAGTAATAATACTAGTATTACTAATACTATTAATACTGATAATAGTAATAAGAGGAGGAGGATGAGGAGGAGGAGGGGGGGAGGGGGGGGGGACGAGGAGGGGAGGCGGCGGAGGAGGAGGAGGAGGAGGAGGAGGAGGAGGAGGGAGGAGATTGATGATGATGATGATGATGATGATTGATGATGATGATGATGATGATGATGATGGTGATGATGATGATGATGATGATGATTGATGATGATGATGATTGATGATGATGATGATGATGATGATGATGATGATGATGATGATGATGATGATGATGATGAGGTGGAGGAGGAGGAGGAGGAGGAGGAGGAGGAGGAGGAGGAGGAGGAGGGCGGAGGAGGAGGAGGAGGAGGAGGAGGAGGAGGAGGAAGACGAGGAGGAGCGTGGGAGGCGGAGGGGGAGGAGGAGGCGGAGGAGGAGTTGGAGGCGGAGGAGGAGGAGGACGAGGACGAGGAGGAGAAGGAGGAGGAGGAGGAGGAGGCGGAGGAGGAGGGAGGAGGAGGAGGAGGAGGAGGAGGAGGAGGAGGAGGAGGAGGAGGAGGCGGGAGGAGGAGAGGAGGAGGAGGAGGCGGATGAGGAGGAGGGGGAGGAGGAGGAGGAGGAGGAGGAGGAGGAGGAGGAGGAGGAGGAGGAGGAGGAAAGAGGAGGAGGAGGATGAGGAGGAGGAGGAGGAGGAGGGGGAGGAGGAGGAGGAGGAGGAGGAGGAGGAGGAGGAGGACGAGGAGGAGGAGAAGGAGGAGGAGGAGGAGGAATAATCATAATATTAATAATACTAATAATAATACTAATAGTAATACGAAGGCGAAGAATAATAAGAAGTAAAATAAGGATAACACGAATAATAAGAATACTCAGCCGAATGCTAATACTAATGCTACTAATAATATTACGAAGACTGTTAATTATAACAAGCATACTAATACAACTAATAAAACTAATAATAATAATGCTAATACTAATAATACTAATGATGCTACTAATAAAATACTAATACGACTACTCATAATACTAGTATTAATATTATTAGTAGTAATAATACTACTCGCACGAATAAGAATAACACTAACAATACTAATAATACCAACAAATAATAATACTAATACTTCTACTACCAATATTAATAATACTAACAACAACAATACGACTAACCATACTAGTCATAATAATCATACTAACCATACTAATCATAATACTAGTAATACCAATACTACTACTACTACTAATAATAATAATACTAATAATGATACTAATAATAATAATATTAATACTAATAATGATGATAATAATAATATTAATAATACTATTATTAACAAGTAATAATAATAAAACTAATAACAGTAATAATGTTAACAATAGTAGTAATAATAATACTAATAGTACTAATAATAATACTAATGATAATAATACTACAATAATAACAATAATAACAATACTAATACTACTAGTACCATTAGTTATAGTACTAGGAAGAATAATAATAATAATAAGACGAAGAAGGAGACGAAGAAGAGGCGGAGAAGGAGGAGGAGGAGGCGGAGGAGGAGGAGGCGGAGGCGGAGGCGGAGGAGGAGGAGGGGGAGAAGGAGGAGGAGAAGGAGGAGGAGGAGGAGGAGGATCCGCGAGCTGCAGGGGAAGCGGTGCCCCCCGCACGCCCGAAAGCCCGCGCGCACGCGTACGCGACACGCGCGGTCGGGCGCCGCGGGGGCCCGCCCGATGGCAAGGCCCCCGACCATTCGGGGGTCCTGAGGGGACAGGACCCCCGACCACGGGGGCCCTGAGAGGACAGGGCCCCCGACCGCGAGGCCGAACACGACGACCTTCACCACGCCGACCTTCAGCCAGAGCCGTCGCTGTCGGACCCGAGGGCGTCCTCGGTGTCCGCGACGACCTGCGCCCAGACGGCCTTGTCCTTGTCCTCGGCGAACTCGCCGTCCAGGAACCTCGCGCCCCACTCCTGCTCGTCCAGGGTCGTGGAGCTAGCTGCCTTGGCCGAGCGCCTGCTGGGCACCGTCGCGGAGCCTGCCGGGAGCGGCGAACACCGCGCGACTCCCGAGCTTCGCCACGATCGCGTCCAAGACGGGCACGAACTCCGCCTCCAAGGACTCCACCAGGGCCGCGCTGTCCAGCTCGGCGGCCTCACGCTTAGCGACGCAGATCGCCTCGGTGAGGATCGCGTCGTCCGACTCCGCGCCCTGCTTGGCCTTCTTGCCCTTTTTCGTCTTAACGGCAGGGGCTGCCGCCAGCGGCGGCGAGGGCGCAGCCGCCGCACTCGCCGCACGGGCACCGCGCGCCGCAGCAATCGCCTTCCGCCCCAGCCAGCCGCGCCAGCGCCGCTGCACCACTCCAGCGGCAGCGGCACGCGCGGCGTCTGTCTTTCGCACGGCCTCGGCCGAACCCACGCCTCTGCCGTGCTATCCGCGAGCACCAGCGCCGTCTCCCAGCGGCCCGCCCGCTTGCCCTTGCCCTGCATGAGCCGCCAGTCGTCGTCGACCTCGCCGCTCATGCGCTCCATATCGATGGGACGCACGGCCTCCACCAGCTGCACCTGCATCTGGCTCTGGGCCGCCGCGTTGCCCTTCGTCTTCAGCACGTCCTTGCCCCGAGGACGGGGGGCGGCGGCGGTGTGGGGGGACGAACCCGCGCCCACACAGCAGGGGGACGAACCCACGCCCGCTGCCGCCCCCTGGCGCCTCGCGCCACCAGTGTTGCTCACGTGCGACTCCTGCGCGTGCACCTCGCTGCAGTCCACGTGCGCCACCGACTGCTCGGCTTCTCTGCCGTCCACGTCGTGCGCGATGTCATGGCACGGCTGCCCTTCGCCCCGTAGCAGGCGGAGCAGCTCCTGGCCCTGCTGGGCCCCCATCGCGCCGCCAAGGCTCCCCGAGGTGGCGCCCTCGGAAACCGTGACAGCACCAGTCACCCATTGGTGCAACACCACGCCGATGACGCACATCGCGTGTCCCGCCCGCAGGTCCGACCTGCGCCTGCACCAGCTTCGGCTCGCATGCGCCCGCGGACGCGATAGAAAGCACAGCTGGTGACACGCGCGTCGTTTGTCACTCCGAGCATCTTATACACCCTCCATTCCTCCGATAGATAGAAAAACGCGCACCTCATCAACAGGAAGTGTGCCCCAGGATGCTTCGCACCCTGGAGGGTTCCTGATCTGATGGCGGCGGCGGTGACATCCATGGCCAAGTTTTGATCGGTGTTCCGCTGGCCTCCAGACCCTGCGTTCCTCATCCATGCAGGGGATCCTTATTCAATGTCCTCGCCGTGCTGCCTTCCCTAATCATTGGACACTGGAATTTTCCAGTCGCTGCCGATGAGATCGGTTGTTACTGATGTTGTTTTGAATTCTGGGATCGGTCGCGACGGATTGGTCGCAAGCGGTCGCGGCCGATGTTGGAATCGGCCGCGATCGGTCAAGACCGATTTGGAGTGCCGATCGGTCGTTACCAATCGCGACCGAACAGAAATCGGAATCTAATGATCAGGGTTTTTGCTCGTGACCGTATTCTTTTTCATTGTTTTGCCGATCGGCGCAGGCGCCTGTTTCGAGCAGGTGGGATCTCCCCCCTAGGACGCACTGCTCAACACAATCGCTTCAAGCAGAGGTCCGGAGCCAGAGCCCCCCCCCGTCCCTCAGTTTCTCCCCCCTCTGCCCAAAGTCGTAACGCCGAATAAGAAAACGCTCACCAGGGTTTTTGCTCCCCGAAGGACGAAGAAGAGGCGGCTCCGCCTGAGGCCGCTTCGCCGGAAGAGGCGGCCGCTCCGCCTGCCTCGCCTGGCTCGCCGGGCGCCGCGGCACAGGCGGCGCCGCCAGCGGGCACCCTCGCCGTCGGCTGCCAGGTCGACGTCCAGGGCCTGAAGAGCAGGAGACCATCTCTTTAGATCCTCTCGCGATAACGGGCGTCGCCGCCCACCAAGCCACCCCCCCGCCCAACCCGAAGGCCCCGACTTGCCTTCCATTTCCAGTGCGGGGGCGTCAGGGAACATGGGAAAAAACACACATATGAAGCCCGTACCCCCCTCCAACTCGAAGTTGGGGTCTTCGGGTTAGGTTGGGGTGGTCTGGTAGGCAGTCAGGGCGTGACCTGGGGGGGAGAGCGAAGCGTGGGGGTCGGGCAGTGCCGGGCTCCCCGCCCGCGCTAGCGTATAGAGCCCGCGCCGAGCGGCCCGGCCGGGCGGGCGGCCCAGGGACGGTCTTCCTCCACAGCGGGGACAGGAAGACAGTCATGAGGGGGGGATGGGGGGCCTGGTCACGTCACGAGTCGCGCAGGCGCCGTCTGGAAGTGTTCACCTGCGGAGGGCTCGTTCCCACACGGCGCCGGCGCGAATCGTGACGTGATCAGGAGGGGTGGGGATAGGGGGCGGGCGGGGCCGTTCACGGGTGATATGGCGAATTTCAACAGAGTGGGCTCCAGGCCAGATCTCAACGGCAGGAGGGCGAGGGTGCTCCTCTTCGACGAGGCCGCTGGGCGGTGGGAGGTGCGCCTGGAGGGGCCGGGCGACGACCGGCTGCGCTGCAAGCCGGAGAACCTGAGCGTGGTCGTCGTGAGGCAGAGCGCAAAGAAGCTGCTCGGCGACGAGGCGTTCAAGAACGGCCAGCACGACAGGGCCATCGCCCTGTATGGCCAGGCGCTTCGGGAGGACGCGCAGGGAGACGTGGAGCTCAGCGCCACCATCCACTCCAACATGTCTGCCGCGTATGCCAAGAAGGGGGACCACAACAGCTCGCTCAGGGAGGCGGAGTCTGCAGTGGGCCTCAGGCCCACGTGGGCGAAGGGCTACTCGCGGAAGGGCCTCAGCCTGCTCAGTCTGTGCCGTGACTTGGAGGCTCAGGAGACTTACATCAAGGCTGTGACCTTGGACCCCACGACCGAGGGCTACCTTGCCGGATTGCGGCAGGCGACCGAGCGGCTCGCGACGAAGAAGGACGCCGGCTCGCGACGAGCGGAGGCTGAGCAGAGGAAGGCCAGCGGCAACGCAGCCCTGAAGTCGGGCGACCTCAGTCTTGCCGTGGCCTACTACACGATGGCCCTTGCGCTGCTCGCCCCTGTTGCTCAGGCGGGGAACCAAGGCCTGCAGCAGTCTCTGGCGGTCTATTCCTCGAACCGGTCTGCAGCCTTCGCGAAGCTGCAGCAGTGGGAGTGGGCTCTGGCCGACGGCGAAGAGGCAAAAAAGGCTTCGCCTGCGTGGTTCAAGGCTTACCTCAGAATCGGCAGCGCACAGCTCGGGAGCGGCCATGCGGAGCATGCCTACAGGACATACTTGTACGCTAGGGATCTGCAGGGGGGCTACCAAGAAGCCATCGCCGAGTGCAACAGGACCTTGTGGCTCATCCCTCGACTGGAGTCGCCTCTCGCCAAGAGGCGGATGTGCAGATTCTCGGAGAGCGCCAGCAAACCGCCCGGCTCGTGCCGCATTTTTGCCATTTCCGACGTGCACATCGATCACGGCAGTACGGTGATGAAGTGGGCTGAGGGTATCTCCGAGACCGAATTTCGGAACGACATTTTAATCGTCGCTGGGGATCTTGGTGATACTTTCAATGCTGTCAAGATTGGGCTCAAGATTTTCAAACGCAAATTCAAGAGGGTTTTCTACGTGCCAGGGAATCACGACATGTGGATCCGCCCTAACACTCAAGACGCAACCAAAATGAAGTTCCAAGACTCCATCTGCAAGCTTCTTGCAATGCTAGACATGTGCCAGCAGATCGGGGCCGAAATGATGCCAGCCGAGGTCATGCAGAACGTGTACGTGGTGCCGCTCCTGTCGTGGTGGGCGAACACGTTTCTTGGCCATGAGGCCCCAGACGACGGACGGGTGTATGACACGTTCTGCAAGTGGCCGATGGGCGACAAGGTAGCCCACAAGTGGTTCCTCCAGTGGAACGACGTCTTCCTCAGGAGGATCCAGGCCGTCCAGAAGCAGCGCGGCCAGAAGGGCGAGGTGGTGACCTTCAGCCACTTCCTACCGACCTCGGACCTGCCGTGCGGCGGGGCGCCTGTGATGGCGAGCGGCTGCCTGGAGCTTGAAGGCGCGGTGAATTCTCGGGGGGTTCTCGGAGGCGACGATAAGGGGCGACCAGCCGAGGGGCGGAGCAATCCATGTATCCAGGGGCGCCGATGATCCATGTCTTCGGCGAGGCTCCCTGGCGGCGAATACGTGTAATGCCCGCTCCTGGGCTAATCGCCGTCACCCGTCGGTCGCTATACCTATACCTATATCTATATCTATATATATATATATATATCTATATCTATATATATATATATATATATATATGTGTCTCTCTTTCTATATATATAGCTATATATATATATATGTTTGGATGCCCAGATCGCAATCTACTTCAAGGTTCTCTCCTTCTTCGGGAACTGATGTGTTTTTGCTGTGCTTTGTGATTATCATGGGGGGCCTGATCCGAATCTACTTTATCCGCCTTCCTACTTCATGTCTTTACCTACTTCTTCCGACCGACGTGTATCGTCGCCGCCGATGTTAATTCGTCTCACTTCCCACAGCTTTCCAGCGTCAATGCCAGGCTTTGCGGCTTATGTGCGCAGCTCGCTCCGACCAGCCTCGCCGGCCCTGGCTTCGGTTGGCGGCGGGCTTCTTCGGAAGACGGAGGAGCGGCGCCTCCGGCACCAGCCCCTGCGAGGAGGCCCACGATGCTTCCCCGAGCTGGAGAATGGAGACGTCTCGAGCGGGACGCCGAAAAGCAGCGACACCACACCACCACGAGTACTTTCCCCTGCTCCTCACGAATGTAGTGGTAGTGGTGGTGGTGGCGATCTTCCCTGTTCCTGCGCTGGTGCGTTACGAGTTCAGGTTTGGTCCTGGTGCTCCACCAGCCCCGGCTAGCGTCTTTGTCTTGGCCCATCGGGGTCTTCTTGGTGGCGCGCTGGCGCGACGTTCCACGGTGTCGCTGGCCCCAGCTAGCCCCGCCTTGCTTCCACGGTGCCGCTGTCTGCATCCGCCTGCTTTCCTTCCGCGTGCTTCTGTGTGCCGCCACCTGAGCGATGCCAAAAAATGGGCTCGTCTGCGCCGACATTGACGCGTAAGCTGCCCGCGTAAGCTCGCGCATAAGCGCCCTCGCCTCAAATGTGGCGTGCCGCTCGGGCGGCCTGCGTAAGCTGCGGCGTAAGGTCGCTACATCATCTCGCGTAAGACCCATTTTTGATCGTCGCTCACCTTGCTTCCACGATGCCGCTGTCTGCATCCACCCGCTTTCCTTCCGCCTGAGATCCGACGTTGCAAAAAATACAAAATAGTGAAACATCACCTCCCGGCGCCCTATACCCCATCCTTCTGCGTCATTTCTCGAGCCGGATCGATCTGTGAGGGTCCCAGGTCTCGAAATTGAGTGAAAACGCCGTCTGTGAAGATTTGCAACGCCAGGATCTCAGGGCCGCGTGCTTCCGCGTGCCGCCCCCTGCCTTCGCCTGCTTGCGCCTCGGCGCTGGCCGAGCGGCTCGCCGAGAGCTCCACCGTCGTCGGGATGCCGCAGCCCTGTCCTGCGGGTGGGGATGCGTGGCGCTGTGCCGGCCCGATGCGGAGCTCCAGGAGGGGGCCGCTCGCGTGGCGTTCTCCGCCGTCGCCCCCTCCGAGCGCTGCCGACGTCTTGGGGCGGTCTGGGGGCCTGAGGTGGCCCAGCACTGGCGCTGGCCAGCAGGAAAGGCGGGCTGGTCCGAGGTTCTGGGCTCGTCTTTCTGCGTTGTTTTTTGTGGTTGTGGATGTCGTTCTCGAGTTCTCGTTTCCAGATTGCCCTGGCGACGTACCCAACCCCTGCGCAATGCGGGGCAGGAGTAGCGAGGGAGACGTCATACGGAGGTGATGACGTGACATGGGCGCATATATTTCTGCGAGCGGCAATCGTGAGGCTCGCAGCCCCCCCATGATTGCGAGGTCCCATTCAGATCTGCGTTGTGCCTCACTCCGCTAGACCCGCCACCAGCCTTCCAAAGTAGCGACGGTTTCGCAGATCGCAGCCCCTCAAGGATGGCGAGGTCCCGCTCAGATCTGCGCGGTGCTTCATTCCGCTGGATCCGCCAGCAGCCCTTGAAAGTGGCGACGGTTGCGCAGATCGTAGCCCCCCAGGGATGGCGAGGTCTAATTTGGATCCGCGGCGGGCACCCACTATGCTGGCCCCCAGAGCAGCCCTCGAAAGTGGCGACGGTTTCGCAGACAGCAGCCCCCCAGGGATGGCGAGGTCTAATTTGGATCCGCGGCGGGTACCCACTATGCTGCCCCCCCCCCAGCAGCCCTCGAACGTGGCGACGGTTTCACAGATCGCAGCCCCCCAGGGATGGGAAGGTGTAATTTGGATCCGCGGCGGGTACCCATTATGCTGTCCCCCCCAGCAGCCCTCGAACGTGGCGACGGTTTCGCAGATCGCAGCCCCCCAGGGATGGCGAGGTCTAATTTGGATCCGCGGCGGGTGCCCACTATGCTGGCCCCTCCCAGCAGCCCTCGAAAGTGGCGACGGTTTCGCAGATCGCAGCACCCCAGGGATGGCGATGTCTAATTTGGGTCCGCGGCGGGTGCCCACTATGCTGCCCCCCCGAGCAGCCCTCGAGAGTGGCGACGGTTTCGCAGATCGCAGCCCCCCAGGGATGACGAGGTCTAATTTGGATCCGCGGCGGGTACCCACTATGCTGGCCCTCCCAGCAGCCCTCGAAAGTGGCGACGGTTTCGCATCGCAGCCCCCCAGGGGTGGCGAGGTGTAATTTGGATCCGCGGCGGCCCTATCGGCAGCCCTCGAAAGTGGCGACGGTTTCGCAGATCGTAGCCCCCCAGGGATGGCGAGGTCTAATTTGGATCCGCGGCGGGTACCCACTATGCTGGTCCTCCCAGCAGCCCTCGAACGTGGCGACGGTTTCGCAGATCGCAGCCCCCCAGGGATGGCGAGGTCTAATTGGATCCGCGGCGGGTACCCACTATGCTGGCCCCCCGAGCAGCCCTCGAAAGTGGCGACGGTTTCGCAGATCGCAGCCCCCCAGGGATGGCGAGGTCTAATTTGGATCCGCGGCGGGTACCCACTATGCTGCCCCCCCCATCCCAGCAGCCCTCGAACGTGGCGACAATTTCGCAGATCGCAGCCCCCCAGGGATGGCGAGGTTTAATTTGGATCCGCGGCGGGTACCCACTATGCTGGCCCCCCGAGCAGCCCTCGAGAGTGGCGACGGTTTCGCAGATCGCAGCCCCCCAGGGATGGCGAGGTTTACTTTGGTTCCGCGGCGGGTGCCCACTATGCTGGCCCTCCCAGCAGCCCTCGAAAGTAGCGACAATTTCGCGGATCGCAGCCCCCCAGGGATGGCGAGGTCTAATTTGGATCCGCGGCGGGTGCCCACTATGCTGCCCCCCCAGCAGCCCTCAACATTTTAATTATTGTTGATCCCCGCCGCCAGTAACCATTGTCAGAGAGAGTGTGCCCGAGCGTTTTTTTCTATTGAAGTGCCCCCTCCGGGCTCGCACCCT